TATGAACTATGTGTTGTAAATAAGTTAAGGAAATTTTAATCAGAGAGAAAAAAATAATAATAGAAAAGGATTTTTAAAAAAGAATTCGTTGTATGTAATAACTAATAAACATTATGTGTGTATATATATATATATATATATATAAATGTATTGTGTGTGGGAAAAACAGGGGGTACTGTTTTTTTCGCGCAAAGTTACACAATGGACTATTTACACTCTGTCCATCGCTGGGAATAGAACCATGGATTTTAGCGTTGTAAGTCCGTAAACTTACCACCGACCCACCAGAGGATGTGTGTGTGTGGGGGTAGGGGGGGTAACAAGGTTAAATGCAAGTGCAGTATGGTTACTATACCTACTTTAACACTAAACTAAAGACTGTTATACATTTGTTTTACATAGTGAAACTTAACCCAATAAAAAAAATGCTGTCTGAAACGTTACTCTTTTATAAATAAAAACATGAATCACAAGGTTTTGTTTATTCCTTAATTGTTTTAGAATTTTCGCGTAAAACTACACAATAACTATTTGCGCATAGCCGTTCCCAATTTTTGAACTGATAGAATACAGGGAAGGCAACTGATCGTTAGCTCTTGTGCTACTCGTGTCTGACCACAGTGGGATTTATCTTGCGGTTCAAAAAGTAACGACCGTGTTCTTGCAGCAATGGGACACGAACCATGAACTATTGGATTTACACATTTTGACTCTGTGACTGAACACGTGTCGTTTATTTAATTATATAAAACACTAAGTATTTCATTTTATCAAACAACATAACCAAATGAGAATCAGTATGCGACGGATTTTTCTTTTTTATATTAAAGTAAATAAACTGAAGTATAGGCCTATTATCACTAACAATGGGGGAAATAGTAAATTACGTTATATATAGATATACGTATATATAAATTTTATGATTTACATAAAACGCTAGAGTTTACAGGTATAATTACAAATTGCTTCGAATTTATTCGTAAAATATGTTGAATTTCACTATATTCATAATTAGTAAGTACCCTTTCCACTGATTTCATAATTGTTGGTTTATGTTATTCTGAAGATTTCTAGTGTAAGAAGAATAAACAGTTGTTAACTTTAATTAGCTCATTAATTTTTATCTTTGATCAAAACAAGCTACCTGCATAGATCAGAAGTAACGCATAACTTAATAATTAATACATCTAATTTAAAATATCGGTCTAACAAGGGCTAGGAAATTTCACAAAACGCAATCTTATAATGATTAGAATACATTGATTTACCAATTTGTTACCTCGCTGTTAGCGATTTGTTACTATATTGATAAATTAGAAACATGTGACAGAATTATGGTTGCTGTGTTAATGATAACGTAAATGTTCCAACTTCGAATTGAATACTTTAAGCTGCTCATATTGTTTATGAGCTTAGACCAGAATATGTTAATTTCTAAAAACTAGCTTTTATGTTCCAAATTAATCTTTAACTTCACTATAAAGATTTAGTAACGAAATTCACTGTGGTTGTGGAAAAAAAAATGTCAAACATTGATAACAATAATATCGTGTTAAAAAATAAATGTTAGAACGTTTCATAAGGAAAATATATAACAAAAACACTTAAACGAGCCTATCATGGCCTGGTGGCTAGTGTGTTCAGCAGTGGGGTGTGATAATGTATCAGTCAATCATACTGTTCATTCGTAAAGAGTAGTCCAAGAATTGGTGGTTGTCGGTGTTGACTAGATGCTTTTCCCGTAATCTACCACTTCAAAATTAGAAACAACTATCCAGATAACCCTCGAGTCACTTTACGTGAAATTCAACAACAACAAGAACAAAGAAAAATAAAACAAACTCAAAAGCCATACAAATATTGTTTCGAATAAAGTTTATTATTCGATCCTGGAAACGTGAGACCTGCTATTAAAGATCGTATACTTCTTCAGAAGTATTTTGTGACAGTAATTGTTTTAACGTCAAGTTGAGGAGGTGAAGTATTATTGTGTATGGAAAATAAAATAATTTTAGTATTAAAACTTTTCGATTTTCATTTTTTTAATAAAATACTTATGGTCAAATGACCATAATTAAACACACGTTTTGCTGCCAGCTTAGCACAACAGTGTGCCTGACACACGTGTCCAAATTCTCCACAACGAAATACCTTTCAAACGATTGAAAACAAAGTGAGAGGTATAAACGTCTTATCAACTTATCACTCAATCATGACCCCTCTGACGATAAAAAGTTTAAAACTTCTGGATTAAAATGCTCACTCCTGATTTCTTTACTTTAAAGTCTTCATAAGGGGATAACTATAGCCAGAAAAAAGGAGAGTATAATATTAAAAATCAGCAAAACGATCTTGACACATATCACCGACTGAACGGATGCACGTCGTCACAACTAGTTAAATCTTACTTTCAGAACAGAGATAGTTAATACAGTTTAAAATACACATATCCCCCCATTAGATCTTTCTTTTAGCGAAATTCCTTCCATCATGGACATCTGGTCCACAAAGAAAGGAAGCTACATATCTCTTTATTTAGAGAATATCTTGAGAACACCGACTGAATAGATGTACGTCGTCACATCTAGTTAAATCTTACTTTCAGAACAGATAGTTAATACAGTTTAAAATATACATATCTCTTTATTTAGAGAATATCTCGAGAACACCGACTGAACGGATGTTCAAGATATTCTCTAAATAAAGAGATATGTGTATTTTAAACTGTATTAACTATCTCTGTTCTGAAAGTAAGATTTAACTAGTTGTGACGACGTGCATCCGTTCAGTCGGTGTTCTCAAGATATTCTCTAAATAAAGAGATATGTGTATTTTAAACTGTATTAACTATCTCTGTTCTGAAAGTAAGATTTAACTAGATGTG